ATAGTGAGATAGGAAGTGAGTGGAGTTGGATCGATGATGCACCTAGGTTGGACTAGGAGACAACCTGGTTGAAATCCCTATGTAGTCAGGAAGTTTAGGAGGTGACTGTGGACCAGGTGGCAACTCCTTTTTAACCCACCTCTCTTCCCCAAACTTCCTATAAGGATGAAAGGTCTGGAAGATTATATTAAGATTTGTTAGTGCTCCACTTAAACATTCTCCACAACATTTGCTGCTACTAAAAATAATTGTGCCAGAGATCATTTTGTATATTCAACAGCACATACTTACAATTATTCTCCAGTTTTGTGTTTGACATACAAGGATGTAAGTAAGAGCCAGGTGTTCAAGGATTTTGGGGGGCAGAGTTTATGCATATTTTCCTTTAATGGTTGTAATGAATTTTTTCCTCCTACACAGTTGAAATTCCTTCTTCTACACAACCATTAAAAGGACAGGAGCCTTATCACTTATTTGCTCTGGCAACCTGAGAATGCAGTCTAAATGATTACATAGGACTAATAACGCCACTTATAAGTGAAGTAAGCAAGTTTAGACATTAATTCACTAGATGTCATGGATGGATGATATTTTTCTCAGATTTTGGAGGATTTAACAGCAGTGGCTGGGGGCGGGGAGGAGAGGATATTGGAAAACAAAGGAGTTTTCAGTTTATAAAAGAAAGAATAAGCACAGTTGGCTTTCACTTCAGACTTCAAGTTGGGACTCAATCTCAGCGCCTGTGTCTCCACAGGCAGAGCACAACGTTAGGAAGATTATATTCACTACTGTTAATCATCATAGCAGCAGAGTTGACCAATCCACTAATGTATTCAAGGCAAAGCAATTGACAGTGTTCCAAAATCCAACACATATTATAGTGTAAACATTCAGAATCAGCTCTTTGGGGATTCCTTGCTTTATCCTCTTTCATGAAATATGAAGGACAGAAGTAAGACAATCTCCTCCTCCTAACATTCTAGTATGAGCCAGATTAAGATTTCCCAGAGGAGAAGGAAGGAAAGACTTTTGCATTAGGAGGGGCAAAGTTTCTTCTCACACATAAATTCCCCAATGGCAAGTACATTCAGACCTTCTAGAAGGTTGCCAAAATGCAGGAAGAAAATACTGGCACTGAGAAGCATATGAAACAAATGAATGCAGACTTTTTTGACAGAGAGCAAGAGAACCACAATTCAAATAAAGATAATGCTCTATCACTATCAAGCTGGCAAATTTTCAAGGGAACTTTAGTTGGTAGATTAGGATAGCCATCCAGATGATTTAGGCTACAATTCTAATAATCCCTTACTACTAGACATGCTGGATTGTGAGAAATGTTTAGAGGGAAGGCAGATCTCCTGTAGATCATGGGTTGAGGTAAGAAGAAGGAATCTTTAGGCAATTGGTTCCACAAGAAGCAGGGCCAATTCAGACCATGTGATTCCCTCTGCTTTCCTTCTTTATCTCTTTTAAGACTGTTTTAACACTCAACCTTTGTACTTGCACCAACGGAGACTTTTCATGTCTATATCTGGAAGCTGTTACATAGAAGGTTATTTCTGAAAGGCAACATATACACTTCAGCCTCAAGTCCTGATGCAATAGCACTCCAAGCATAAATGAATGTCTTGGAGATCTCATCATACTCATATGAAGGCAGTGCCCCTGCTGATAGGGGCAGATTTTATATAACAGAAGGATTCATACAAATTTAGACACTAAGTTGGGAAAACACTTTGAGCTTATTATGACTTTTGCTAAGTGGGCAAAGCTTCTGAGAGAGTTCACACATAGAGAACAGTAATTCAGAATGGCATCATTATCAAAATATTTATCCAGTTCTTGTAAATCAAAGACAAAACTTCTGAAAGAGCCGTTTTAGGTTTCCCTATCCACTGCTGAGTCCCATTTTTTGCAACAACTAGTAGGACTGGTCAAAACATAAAAGACACATTGTATAAAACTAAAGAAGCCTACCACATATGAATGCAATAGCCTTCTTCCACTATTATTCTCCTCTGACTGGTACATAAATGCAAGCATTTTGATGCTGAAGGCGTACATAGCTGTCATGTCTAACAGACACTGGCTACATCCAATTATTTGCCCTACTTTAAAAGACCCATTTACTCAATGGAAACTTATTAATTTTATTAACTCAATGGATTTACTAGAGCTAAGAATAACAATCATAGTCGATCCCTCCATAAAATTATCCAATTTCCTTTCAAAGCTTTTGAACTGGTGGTTAACTGGAAACCTTGTAACATATGGAGGACTCCATTGTTGCTCTTGGGTTAATAGTACCCATTGATTCCTCTTGACCATGGTACTGACAGGGTCAAGAGGAGTCAATGGGTACCAGTAAACCAACAGACTGAGGGGCTGTCATAATGAATGGTTCCCTGGTTCAAGGAAGTTGCAGGTTTGGAAAACAATGTCCTTAACCTTGCTTGGATCATACTCTGCTCCTGAACTACTTACTCAGGTTAACTCTATGAATAGAAAAGATGGCATGGAAGCCCAAAAAACAAAGAGACCAGGACTTATCCAGAAGCCCAAGACCAGCTAACCTTGAGCTCTATCTCTGAGGAAAAATCCACATTCTTTATATCCTCCAAATTACTGGAAGGCAGCCCTTGAGAACTTCTCTAAAACTGAATTAGACTCAACGGGAGAAGAGGTTCACCCATTTTCAACCTACAGGATTATTTCACATTCTCCAAGGGGAAAAAAAAGATTAAGTTTTGAGATCACGGTTGGAAAATGATTATATTCCTTTTTAATTGAGATGCACTACTTCAGAAATCAAATGAATAGGCAAAACAGTATTTACTGAGTAACTAGCAGGCAGCATGGGAGATAGACATTTTGAAGAGCTATTTTAGTAATACATTTCCCTGCTGCATGATACAGACAGAAGCTGCCTGGCTTTTGGTTAATGCAGTGATTTGGCAGACTGATGAAGCAAAGCCTTCTTTAAGTCAGTGCAAGTTTACAGATGTGTAGCTGATTATTTTGAATAATTAAATGGTGTCAGAACCAGCTGTGATGAATAGGACTGGGGTCTCAATTCATAAATAATTGAGGAGACGGCATTGCATTTGATCATCCCCATCAAATTCAACTCTCCCGAGGATAAATGTTTGTCCTGAATACCATCAACATTGTTAAATGCCTCAATATCCCTGTTCAGTCATCCAGCCAACAGTCAATTTAACTAAATCACTTTTAACACCTCGCACAGCCGCTGTCCTCATGAATACAAAATGCTTATGACTGGCACACCAGGGATGTTTATTCCCTGTTTTTTTTTATTTGGCGTGGATTTTTAAAAATATAAAAATGGTGCAGTTATATCATAAAGCCTCTAACCAAAAGGAAGGAGGAACTTGCACAAAAGAGTCATGTTAAGGACAATGGTTGCAGCCTTATCTTTGTCATATACTGAGCCAAGGGGCCATGCAGGACCCAACCAGCAATTTTCTGCTGATATCGTGTTTGTAAATACAGCTGTCTTTTATGACTCAGTCGTGGCATTTTTAATACTTGGGTTATTACAGCATGTCAGGCCCCCAAACCACATTTCTCTCCTCTCTCACCCTGGTGGAGATGGCACTACAGCTGCATGCTATTTTCAGCCCAGAAGGCTTGAAGATCCCGCCTTCCTGACAGTATTTTCAAAGCCCAATTGTGAACTGGCTGAAATAAAGGCATTTGGGAGGGAGAGGGGGGGGGGGAGCAGTTAATATTGGCTTTTGCAATCACGCTTTCTGTTGATTAGAGCCCAAGTCTGACACAATTATTAAGCATGAAATAGTGTTTATAGAAGCCACAGGAGGCTGTAAACTCACACATGAGCCAGTTGTACAACCAGCTGCAAAACTGCAAGTGCTTCTGCGCTGAAGTTGTAAAAGCCCTTCGATCTCATCGTTCCTCCTCTTTTGGTCTCTAATTCCAAACAGTTTCCCCTGTTTTGTATTTATCTGGCACTACAGGAATCTGATTATGTCAATTCATTTGCTTTGGCTTTATCTGCACTGTTCAAGCTTTCTTTCCCCATGTCAGAAGCGATTTGAGAAACTGCAAGTCACTTCTGGTGTGAGAGAATTGGCTGTCTACAAGAACGTTGCCCAGGGGACGCCTGGATGTTTGATGTTTTACCATCCTTGTGGGAGGCTTCTCTAATAGGGAGCTGGAGCTGACAGAGGGAGCTCAACCTACTTTCGCCGGATTCAAACTACTGAACTGTTTGAAGGTCAGTGCCACTGGGGGCCCTACATTAATGTATTTCTCAGAGATCTATATATTTCAACTTTTTGCACTTCCAAAAGCATGGCAGAGGGTGGGACTGGGTGACCCTTGTGGTCTCTTCCAACTATGATTCTAGAGTAGTAAGCCTTCCCAATAACCATTTTCAACACAGTTTAAATCAACACAACTTTTTGGATTGACATATATTTTTATTTGTTCTAGCCCCAGGCTACAATGCGCCAAGATTTGAAAAAAAATCTTTAAAAACAGATAACAAGGTAATAGTTTGCCTATACTGCTAGTTTCTTTCCTCCTTAGTTTCCCATTACAAGGCTGATAATTCCAAGGAACCCCAATCTCTAAACACAGCCCTCAAAACATTATCACGCACAAACTGTTTACAGCAGCCTTAAAGCAGCCTTCCTCTGTTCTTTCCACTTTTTTTCTCAGCTGATCTAGAGGTGAATAAAGTTGCTTTTATGCAATGTTTTATGCCCACTTACCTGAAAAGCAGCCTCACTTATCTCTATAAGTCCCCCCCCCACCCCCGAACAGGCAAGTGGAGGTGTGGTAAGTGTCTTTCCTCTTTCTTGTATCAGGCCCAAGTAATGACAGAATCATGCACATCCAGTTTCTCCTTCCTCATCTAAGACTGCTTTCAAAACAGAATCTAAACCCTATGGAGAACATTTTTATACTAAGGGCTCCTGAGAAACTCCTGAAAAATCAAAAGCTCCACATACCTCAAAGTCTTCTGAGAATCCATGCTGGTTGTTGGCATACAGTTCACCAATATGCTTAACAAACTGTTTGACAGGAACGGCTTCCATGTCATCTGCAAAATAAAAAAAGACATTCAGCTCTGTGGTTTCTATTTTCCATCAACAAATAATAATAAATAAATAAACTTTATTTATACCCTGCCACCATCTCCCCGCTGGGGACTGGGGCGGCTTACATGAGGCCAAGCCCAGACAACAAATTACAGCAGAATAAAACTGAAAACGCAAACAAACAACATCATAATTACATAAGCCAGGCATATTCCTTGTGAGGTTTGTAATACCATCTCTGTCTAATTTCAGTTTTCTAATCCTGACATAAAATTGATCCTCGGACTATATGACAGACAAATATTATTTTTCTAATGTGCCAGGAAGTGGTACCATCTTTGTCCCCACTGGCTACAACTACTCTTTTCCTGGAAAACGTTGGTAGACCAGCAGTCAATGGCTTGCAGTCAGACACCAGTCCACAATTTGAGTTGAATTAGTTTTGTTTACATTAACCAAAGATAACATGCATTCAGATAACACATAACTAAGTGGGTACTTAAAGTGGTCTAGCAATTACTTTAGACAATGGACTTCCATTCATAGGTGGCCTGCAATTCTAAGTTGATATCACCACTAGTGAATGCTGATGAGAATGCCATCCAACAAAACCTGGGGAGTCACTCCTGTTTGAGGCTAACAGCTTTCATCATATGCCATGCCTTTTGCAGCTTTGCCAAGTTCTCATTTTGTTGATGCTACTGATATTGAAAAGTATTATTTTATGGCATTTATTTTGGGATAGAAGAAAGAGAATTGGTTCAGACAGAGGAACCACAGTATCCTTGTTTTGGTTGGTGAGGAACAGACTTTGGAACAGCTGATTTGGGTTACATGAATATATTGTATTGGTTGGGTTTACTTATCGGATGACAGAGGAATTACCAAGTATCTTCATGAGAATACTTTTTGGTATTGGTACTATATAATAGTAGGATAAATTATGCTTATATGGCATATGTATTTTACATATTTGGCTATATTTTATTACCAGAGAACAACCAAAAAGAACCTACACATTAAAAACCCCAGTGAGGACTCTCCCATTGTGCTCAGTTGTACTGTATCGAATTTCTACTACTAAAACGAAAACAGAGCTGGATTAAACCATTTTTATAGGAAAATTGGATAGATTACCTAATCCATTGACATATTCCTGTGGAGTGCCGATTGTACAGTTATTGAGAGTATGTTGTGGTTTAATAGGAAATTGGTATTCCTTGAATCCTACAGTCTGAATAAAAATTACAGATGCCCTTGAATCTTCATGACAATACTGAATGATCTCTATCAAAGAAATTATTTCCTTGTCTTTCTGCTAAATATCACATACTATTTGCCTTTGAAATCCAGGGAAATCTTGAGCTTACACTTGTTAACAGACCTCTTCCTTAACATACATTTATTATCTCTTAATAATATGAGGAAGCATTCTTTCAAAAATTCAGACTGGAAAGAATACTTTCGTGTGATACGTCATATGATGTAATTTTGTCAAAATGGATGAAGGGTAAAAAGTCTCCTGTAGAATTCTACCCAGACAACAATCAGAATTATTGCTCTATATATATATCCATGCACACCAGTTTTATCGTACTTTTTGTTTTCCAAATTCATTATGTCACAAAACTATGATTTAGATACAAACAACAGAGAACAACATTACATGTAGACAACTCACTTCTGGTTGCTTTTTTCTTTAACTTTTCTCTGACCCATTCAACTAGCATAACATAAATGCATGAACAGAGGAAGGAGGCCACCTTGCCTCTCTCATCAGTGTCCTTTTCACCTGGAGAGTCAGATTATGGAGAAAAGAGCCTTCTCTACAAGTAGAGGCTCTCTGCAAGACACAACATATTGTTTCTTTTTGCGGATTGTAAGATAGACAACCTCACATTGCAAAGATTCTCATTTTCAGATGATCACACTCTTTTTCCAGATGAAAAGAAATTGTATCTCTGAAATACATGGGAATCAATTTAGACATTATTTCTATGTATTTCAGTGGGTTTACAAGCCTGGTTCCAACTCAATGACTATATTTTGGTATGCTTAGGAATCACAGTCTCCTAGATACTCCTCAATTGTTTGTAATAGAAGTTAAGATAGTTGAAGACAGGTTACAAGTAGCCTTATAATTAAAGAATGGAGTCAAACTACCATGCTTAAACCAAATATATATATCTTCCAGACCCCAATTGTGTTCCAGAAATGATGTCCTTGTTCTCCAATTCAGATTTTCCTCTCTCTTTTCCTGTCTCTCTTCTTGGTTTGATCCATCTTGTCCTATGTGTCCTGGCCCATCCTGACCTACATATTCTGGCCCATCTTGTCCTACATGTTCTGGCCTATCTTGTCCTACATGTTCTGGCCCATCTTGTTCTATGTGTTCTGGCCCATCATTTTCTTCTTCTCTTTCATCTTCATTTCTTACTAAACAACAAAAAATGGACCCAGACTTCACTCCTGGTAAGTTGCCCATCCTGTCTTATCAATTTAACCAACAGTGAAAAGGTCAGTGCTGACATTAAACACCACATAACATCACAATGAGATGATCTCAATATCACCCCTATCTTGACTGAGCTGTCAGCAGAATAAGGACTTCATCAAATGGTTTTCCTCCTCCATTTTATCTACTTCAAAGACAGTTCAAAGACAGACTTTCACAAGTGACACAGGTGGTTGCTAATGAGACTCCATCTCTGCAGCATGGGAAACTATCTCCACACCATGTAAAATGGGAGCATTTCAAAACCGGGCACAAACTGACCCCATTCCACTGCATGCACACAAAAACACCTAAAATGGGTATCTGTCCATGGGATAGGAAGTGGTGGATTTCTCCACACTCAATTTTTTGAAGTGTCCCCCCCCTCCATGATCCTTCTGTGCATTCGTGGTTTAAAGATAGTATGGGTCCTATTGAAAGATATGCTGATCTGCTCTAGAGGAGGGATTTAAAGTGATCCCATTGAAAAGACTGTTTTAAATCTGTGACAATTGCCAGCCTTTGTGATGGGAAATAAAGAGGATGGTTGAGCTAGAAAGGGGAGGAGGTGATCCTGTGTGATGGGGATGAGTAAATTATCTGTCCCATCCAATGGAATGAAGTTCTAAGAAATACAGAACATGAACCAAATCATTTGCTGCTTGAAAACCTTTCTCCTTGAAAACATAGCATCTTCTCAAAAGTCCATGTTTTCAGATAGCTGTCACAGTGTAAAAGGGGAAAAAAGATAATGGGGGAATCTGGTAACACTTTTGAGATTAGCTCATTTATTTCACTAGGAGCTTTCATGAATATCAACCCACTTCTTCAGATACATTGAGAGTCTCAGCATAGGTAAGTGCTCAGTTATGTGACCTTGAGATTTAACACCACAATATTATGATTAAACATTCTGATCTACCAAATGTGACTGACTTTGACTTACAGAGTCTACACCTGAAACAAAAATACTGCCAATTCACATTCATTTTGTATTTTTCCCCTTTGCCTCCAAAAATAATCTAGGCAATTATTTCATATAGTCTGGCCATATCAGGAGCACTCTATCGTGGAAAAATATATCGTAAGACATAAGCAGATCATGAGAGTTCCACATCCCAACATGCAGTCATTGTCTGAAAGACATCATCTTATTCTTTGAAGGCATTTGATCTTCTTTGCTCACATATTCTAGAGAGCTCCTCAAATACGTAAGGCTAAGAGAGCATATAAGCAAAGTGCTTCTTCTTATCTAATGGCCACTGTGAATTTTATTTCTCATTTCATGATGAATGTGCTTCAGAGACCATAACTCTTTTACTCTACTGAAGAGATTAATGAAATCCTATACAAGCTAATTAGGAAACTTAACAGTTGCTCAGTGCATATTTCCATTTGAGCAATTAGCTTTTTCTTTGCTTAAAATCAGCCCAGCATTCATTTAGTGTCACAATGGGGGCAAAACCTATCCATTAGTAACAAGATTTAAGAAATGGAAGATCTTAAACAACATTTTATTTATTGTTATCTCCCTGCTGAATTATGGAGATATTTAAAGATGGGCTTAAAGCCAACCTTAAAAACTGTGGCATAAACACTGTGAACTGGAAAGCCCTAGCCCTTGAGCAATTTAACTGGAGGTCAGCTGTGACCAGCAGTGCTGCAGAATTAGAAGAAGCACAGATGGAGGGCAAAAGGGAGAAACATGCCAAGAGGAAGGTGTGTCAAGCCAACCCTGACCGAGACTGCCTTCCACCTGGAAACCAATGTCCTCACCGCGGGAGAACATACAGATCAAATATAGGGTTCCACAGCCACCTATGGACCCACCACCAAGACACTACACTTGGAGGACCATCATCCACGGGCTTGGCAGGATCGCCTTAGAAAGTACTGAATTATGAAATTTGTAGTTTTGTGAGATATTTAACTTTCTCTGTCAGAAATCTGGCGCCACAACAAACTAGAAATCCCGAAATTCTATAGCATTGAGTTAAGATGAATAAAAGTAGTGACAAACTACTATAATTCTACAGTGTGGCTGCACAAGATAGGATTAAAGTTGTGTTTAGCTGTAAATCAGCATATTTAATAGGAAAGGATATATCTGGATTACAAATAGGCAGTGTATTATGATGTATGGTTTAGAATAGCCTCTTCTCAGTAGCTGACAAAAACAACCCTTTTGGTGGGGTACAACATAGTTAAAACAGCAAGGTAAAACAAAGAACAATTAAAATCCATATAACAAACACACACAGGTAAATTGCAGTTTAAAATTTACCAGTAAAATGCAGGTTAAAATACAGGTTGAATTTCACAAGATTTGGTGGGCCTCCCAGTCTTGTGTCTTAAATTCTGACCGCCTACAACTCACAAGTGATAACAACAGACACACTAATGCTCCATGTCATGTTCATTCACTGCTGCTAAATCTAGGTAATCTTCAAAGTGTTCCTTAATGAACACAAGCCCAGATTGGAAAGTGAATTACATCCCTTTCCTAAT